TATATATATATATATATATGATCATAGAGAATGCCCAAGAGGTCACAAAACCAAATGTTAATAGATGCTTCAAAGACTTCTGGTGTTAGACTTCTGGAAAGATGGGGGAGAAATGCTGAAGAGTGAGAAGGGATTACATTTTATTTTGTAGCTTTCAAGAGTACATGTAAAATTTAAAAACGAATATGTATCACTACACCAACCTAAAAATTACGCAAGAAATAATTTTGACTACTGAATTTAAAGTTTGTTACTTTGATCTTAACAAACAAGAAGATCTACATAAGCAGATTAAAAATTCAGTAATGTTTCTATGAAAAGGAGTCCTAATCAAGTTTTCAAATATTACAATGATCCACTCAAAAATATTTACTGAATGTCTTTTATGTGACAGTTATCGTACTAATTTTGTGAAATATACTGGAGGAGAAAGTTCAGCCCTAGTGACTTAGACTCTGACAACAGCTCTCAGTTGGGTATGAAAATATGTGTTGGGGGAGTGTTTTTTATTAAACAGTCAGAGTTGAGGATCAGCATTAGGTTTTAATTGTGCAAAGTTTAGACATTTAGACAAGTTAAAATTCTGTGAACTGTGGCATAGTCATACACAGTGAAAAGTTGTCTTGTTAAAAATGTAGTAGCAGCTGGAAAAAGAAATGCCGGACCTATGCCATTGTTCACATAAATATTCCAATTTCAAGTGAACTTTGTTAAAATAAGTCCTAGTGGCTAGATTCTTGACCAAATATTAACTGGGAATTGGTTTCAATACTATATGGATTTAAAAGCAATAATATTCATTAATTTGGCTAGATTTTATAAAATCTGAATTACTGAGATTGTAATGTAGGTGAAAGATGTTCTTATTTACCTTTTCTTTCACATTTCACCTTATTCATAAACTCTAAAATCAGTTTTAACAGAAGTAAAACTATCTCTGGTGACATGTTTGTCAAATGGTGCATTCCTAAGGCATCTGAAAAGCTTAAGCAGAAGGTCCCAATGGAATTATCTTGGTCAAAATCCATTAATGCAAAACCCAAACTTTGGCTACTGCGTGCAGGATTCATTGATGTTTGTTTCAGGAGAACTCCTTAGATAATAACATTCTTTGTGTTTAGGCTGATATGTGTCATATAACCGTTTCTCATAATTATGTCTTGGCATTTTTTCTTACTAATTCTTTGCCTAAAAATAAGGTCATCGTCTCTATTTAAGAGCTCCTAGAAAACTGGTTTCTGAGTTCAGGCAAACTATATCAAGAGCTCTTAAATTTTGTGTTCAATTGGTTCATTAATTATGTCAAGAGCAGAGAAAATGCTGAAAATAAAATTGTATTTACCACCATTGCTGATATATATTTATTAATCTACTTTACCTTCAAAATACTTTTGTTTCTTATTTTTCTTTTCTCCTCTTTTTTCCTTTTTGTTTTTGTTTTTGTGGTATTAGGGAACAAACCCAGAACCACTCTATTGCTGAGCTACGTTTCCAGCTGTTTTACATTAAGAAAAAATTTTTTGAGACAGACTCTCACTAATCTACCTGGGTGGGACTTTAACCTGTGACTGTCTTGCACCAGCCTCCCTAAGTGCTTCCTCACCTGGTTTATCTTTCTGATTTGCTGCTTTAGACCTAAGCATTAATCTGGACTATTACAACAGATCTCCCTTCCTATTTATTTTGAAAAATTTCTAATTACAAAAAATTCAAAGAATAGTTTCAAGTATGAGTTTCAATGAAAACTCAAAATTTTCATCAAGGTTCAAGTTCCTAACATTTTAGTGTATTTATCCTCCCTCCTTTTTCTCTCCCTTTCTACCCATCAGAACAGACATGTGTACACACACATGAAACATACATACTTTTTTCTGAATTATTTGAATATGTCACAGTCACCAGGCTACTTTCAATACAATATGTCAGCAAGGTATATCTTCAGTGTAAAAATATTTTCTATATTACAATGCCGTCATTATACCTAATAAAACAAAAAACCCTAAAAATAGTTCTATGTGAGTCAATATATTGTACTTACTCAACTTTCAATTATCCTCTATAAATGTGTTGTTCAGATTTTTTTATTAAATTCAAGCTTTGATCAAGGCTTATGCATTTTATTTGGTTATTTCTTTTTTTAGTCATTATTAATCTAGAATATTATCTTTTTTTTTAAGGGCAGTGACTTCGTGACAGATGCTTATAAATTGTTCCACATTTTGGGTTTATATGATTGATTGTTTCTTCCTGATCAAATATTTTAGCAAAATCTGACTAATATGTACTTTTTACTACATGATCATAGGAGGCTAAAATGTGAGGTTGCCTCCCCATTAGTAACACTGTTTGGTCACTTGGTTCAAGAAAACCTCATATCTTCATTTTAAAGGCAACTTTCCTGTTAGTAAATAATAAATCTGTGAGGCAATTTTTGAAACCATGTCAATATCCCTTTTTCAATAAACATTTACTCTCCAATTTTTAAAGCATCTATTGATTATGCTTACATGAAACAGTTAGCTGAGGTTTGGAAAATGGTGATTTTTAAAAATTAAAACCAGCGAAAATGTATTTCTCAAATACTGAAGTCTTTGAATTCTTTCAGAATCATTTTCTGATAAGCTCCTAGGTGGAAGGACTGCTCTCTTTCATAGTGTCACTGTGCACTCATACTTTTTGACTTATATTATTAATCACTGTTTTTTTCGGTATTGGAGATTAAAAACTTTGCACTGAGCTACATTCCCAATCCTTTTCATTTTTAATTTTGACACAGGGTCTCACTAAGTCACTAAGTTGCCCATCATGTGCTCAGACTTGGGCTCCTCTTACATAAGCCTCTGAGAGGGCTGGGATTGCAGGCATGCCCCACCACACCTGGCTCCCTAGTCATTACTTCTAATTGTTCTGTTTTCCTCTAATCTGTCTCGCTCCTTCCCTCCCTCTCATCATTCTAGTCTCATTAATTGATGATCAACTCATATATTACATTGTTGCATTTTTTCCAAATATTGCAGTTTACATTTTACATGACACAAATGCTCATATCTTTTTATGCTTCTCACTACTTCTTGATTATATGAATATTTCTTATGTTAATATTTAAGGCTTTCTATTACATGCCATTTGTCCCAGCCCTCTCTAGTCTCAAGAGCCCAGACCTCTCTTATGTGGGAAAGCATCAGAGTCAGGCTTATCCAATCTCTCATGTTACAGGTGGGGTGACTTAGACCTAGGGAATGAAATTGCTTGTCAGGGTCCAGGTGATAATGCTAGTGTTTAGTGCCCGCATTTCACATCTCTCCTAAGCAAACTCTGCCTCAACTAGAAGCTTCATGCATATTCCTATGCTGTTTACTCCTTATTTGTCTCTTTCCCCTCCCTGATCTGTATCCTGTTTCCCAGAATTTCCTTAAATCTTGACCACCTCTCACGTGCAGGTCAAGTTCTACCTTCTAGCTCTCCTGTGACCCTAATGGTCTATGTGGCTCACTTGGGCCATCAGCCTCACAACCCAGCAGCATTACATGGGTTTTTGTTCTTCCCCTAGTCCTTTATTATATGTTTTCAAAGGTAAAAAGTCATGCAGACTCATTTTAAGTAATTAAAACAATAAAAAAGAGAAATTGTGAAAATCTTCTTTCTACCCTAACCTTCAGGTAACCACTGGTAATACACATACAGCTTCCATACACATGTATACATATCCTCAGCTTTATTCCAAATGTCTGGTACATGCCTGAAGCATATAAGTGAGTGTATATATACAGGTGCAAAAACACGTATCTATCTCCATACATATTGTTTAAAACAACAGATCATGTAGCACAATAGCGTTCTGTGATTTGCTTTCTTTTCCCATTTAAATTATCTTGTTAGCCAGGCATGTGATCCCAGCTACTCAGGAGGGTGAGGGAGGAGGTTTGTAAATTCAAAGTCAGCCTGAGCAATTTAGCAATATCCCATCTCAAAATAAAAAAGGGCTGAGGTTATAGCTCAGTGTTAGAATGCTTGCCTGGCACACACAAGACACTGGGTTCAATCTTCAGTACTGAAACAAACAAGTCTTTATGAATAAACATCACCCACTAGGCCAGTAGTGGCGAACTCATGGCAGGCGTGCCACAGCAGGTTGTTTTTTGAAAGCTCTAAAAGGTTTACTATCACTGCCCTAGATTGTGAGCCTTATGAGGCTTACAGCCACTGTCTTTATCCTCTTGTATTTCCAGGGTGTAGCAGAAATTGCCTTCCTTATAAATTGTTTTTGAGGGTGATTATAACCACATGTACTCAATGAACCTCTGTCTCTATTCTAAAATAATTTAAGGTTCAGAGGCTTGTTCCTCAAAAAATACATCATTAACCAGGTCACAGTGACTTGGTGCACAATTCTACTTTGTAACAATGAAAAGATGACAAACTAGAAAAAAAAGTGAGATGAGGAGGTCTAGTGAACAAGATATGCAGAAAAAGAAACTAGCTTTCCCTAAAGGGTATAGCTTTCCACACTGAACATGCCACCTGGAACGTGCCATCTTTTGGGACGTGTTAGGTGGACCACAAAATATACACCTTTAACTCTAAGAGTCAGTGATTTTATAAAGTTTCTGGACATTGGGAGAACCAGAAGCAATAGAATCACTTAAAAACTGTTTGGAAAAGGCGAACTGTAAAATCAGAAGAGTGAGAAAGAATTGCCACTGTCTGGAATTACTCCTTTACTGCTCCTCCATTCTCTCAAGTGAACGCCAGGACTTCATAAAGCAGCTAAAGCTGTGCCCAGTATTTTACCGTCAGTCCCAGGGGGATATTGTAAGCATCAGAAAATTTTCCATTTACACAGGCAGGGAGGTATTTTCAGTCATTTAAGTCTTTTCTAATTACTAAACAATTCCCTCTTTCCAGCCCTCCCAATTTAGCACACAGAACGCTGCTCCCTACAGAAAACAACTCCCCAGCAAAGTGTGAGTTTCCATAGTTAGTTGCTGGAGCTCTGGATGTGAAGAGAGCTGTAAAGCCACAAAGCTTTAATTAGAGAACAATATCAAGAAATCAGGTCCACTGCCATGGCTCAGTTCCTGACACAAAGTAAGTGCTCAGTAAATAACAGAAACAAGGGGCGGGGGATGGGGGAAAGGGAATCAGGAAAATGGGGGAAAGAAAGAGAGAGAGTTTGATAAAGAGAGGTGACATCTAGCCTATGGCTTTCTCCAAACTATGACACGAAGTTTAAATATGGAAGGTCATTTAACAATGATGCTAGCAATCAAATACTAAGCAAGAGGGTATCGGGCCAAGCTTGTTATTGCTAATTCCCCTGAGAATTTTCCTAACGTCAGCTTTTAAAATGAGGAATTTGAGGCATAGAGGCTACATGCTTCCAAAGTAATGGAGCTACAGTGTCCTTTCTCACACTGTTCTTCCCTTTTCTCTGACGGTATCTGCTTCCTGCCTCAGGTCTGCAGGTGACGATACTCTGGTCACTGACAATCACCAATGCTATTATGCGCTGCTGAGCTGACCCCTACCCCCTTGCACACTGCCTTCCCCCAGATGCCTGTGAACAGCAGACCCAAGCTCTCACCAGTGCTTATCTCACTATGAGTCACTTTGCCTTTCCACCCCTATAAACAGGCCCCTCCAGACCTGTTGCATTCCGGTCTCCAGGGGCTGCTTCCTTCAGGCCCAAGTGGCAAGTGCGTGTGGGGGGCAGAGCCCCTCAGCAGCTTTGCCATTTGGGGCACTACAGAGAGCACAACAATCCCCCAGAACATCTTAAAGTTAAACCCTTTTAATATTCCTGTGACCTAGTCCAGGTGGCTCCTTACCCTGCTCCCTCCTTGAACTGAACTTCATTCTACCTCTGTGACAGACTGGCTGCAGGAGCTGACAGGCTGCAGGCTTTGCCACATCTCCTGAGACCGACAAGCATGAAGTCGATAGGAAGCTCTGGAGGCTGCCTGAAACAGGGGACCTGGCTTTCTCAAGCTCCATCCACTGCCCTGACAGTTACCAATATCAAATAAAATATACGTGACCAGCCCTTTCTGTTATTGGCACTGGGAGTTCTACAGAAACCAGGCACGAAGTTCTGGATTCTTTAAAATCTCTATCCTCTATCTTTGCCTTTTTCAATTTAGCATTACATGCAACTTCCTTCTGTATTGTTTTCTATTTTGCAAGCACACACCACCTGGAAGCGTTGCCAGGTACACTGCCGCGCACAGTGGGGGAGGGTCCCTTCATACGCAAACACTGTTTTCTTCTCTCCCCTGTCCCCCACCCCCACCTCACACCATAGTCTCACCTCTTAGTCCTCTTCTGATCTGTCGCTCTGCATGTGCCTACATTCCCTTTCACTTCCCCCTTCTTTACCTGCGGAAGGAACTCTGCAGCTGAGCTGAGTTCCCTCCTCCTGCTGCTACTGATCTCTCCTCGTTCTCGTGCCCCCTCCCTCTGACCAATCTGCCTCTACTTTCTTGCTGCATCCTCTTCTCTCTGGTTAATTTCTCCTCCTCTACTGGGCAGACAAGCTACAAATGACGATGTTTACCACTTAAGTTTTGGAACTGAACTCTCCAGCTGAAATCTAAACTGACTTCTTGTTAGAACCTCATACTTAAATTAATAAAAAATAAAGTGTTCTAATTCCATCAACAATGCAATGAAAATGTTAGGTTAGCTGTCAAATATAGGCAAGCCAGGGGACCTTGCTCCTAAAAAACTAAAATAGAAAAATTATCTGAGCAAGAATTTGAAATGCTATCTTAGGCTATCTTGTTTATATTTAATGCTCTGTGATTCTAACTCAAGAATAACCCTTAAATTAAAGCTTTTTAAATCTGGGCTTCTGAAAAAGCTTCCTAGGATTTATAGTGCCCTGGAGGTGCTTTAAAACAGTTTTTAAAATTCATTTGTTCCTATCTAATGTAGAGCCCTGTTACATACCAAAGAACTGATTCAATGTTTCTGAACGTCATCCTTTTTTTTGTTGTTTTTGGTACCAGGGATTGAACTCAGGACCTTGTGCTTTCAAGGCAGGCAGCGGCGGCACCACTGAGCTAAATGCCCAGCCCTGAACTTCATCATTTTAAATTAAAGGTTTTGGACCCCAAGTTTACCTCCCTATATGGCCTTGTCCCTTGGCTAGCATCAGCTAGAACTTCAGACTTTAGGGTTACACCGTCTATCTCACTCACAGCTCCTGCTCTTCACCCATGCCCTGACAACATTTCCTTCCCCCTCAAAAGCATGAAAACACCATTATGTTGGTAAGATTTTGGATGGGCTTTAGATACAAACAAGTTCATACTTTTGTTTGAAAATAAATTAGGGGAAAAGGCACATTTGGAGACATGTGAAAAACATGAATATTAATTAGTATTGATAGGTGATTCCTCATGCATATTTACCATTTGTGGGGACTACGTTACTTCTTTTTTTTTTTTTTGGTACTGGGGATCGAACTCGGGGCCTTGATTATTTCTAAATAGTGCTTCTCAATGGTAGGTATAATGGGAAAGTGAGATGAAACAGGAAAATCTGTGGCTTTTCAGATGCATAGGAGATTAAGAAAATAAATGCATAAAAAATAATTTGCCAAGAAAATGTACAATTTACGATGTATTTTCCAGGAAAATGTGTCTGAAAATATGTATATGTATTCATCTTTTTGTTCTTTTATGCTGGCTTGTGGGTATCAGACTATGAAAATGTTCTTCCAGAGTATTAATTCACTGGAGGATTAGTGAATAGGTGGGGTTTACAAAGTAAAAAACCTGCATTTGTCCTTCTTCTGACAGTTAGAAATTTCTGGCTAATATTGACTTCCATCAAATGCTGTGTGATATAAAAACAAGTAACAATTTCTCTAAAGAATATCAATGGTAGGGGCCAGGATTTAGCTCAGAGGCACTGCGCTTGCCTTGCAAGTGCAAAGTTCTGAGTTTGATAAAAAAATAGAATGTAAATGGTGCTGCAATTCTTTATATACAAATATAGGTACAGTCAGATACACATACATGTATCTTATGTTTTAAAATATAAATAATGTAGAATAATACAGTATTTTAGATTAGCCCTTTATGTCCTGATAGGTGGCAAAATCCAGGGATAGATGTATTTTCAAGAATCCTCCTAGATGTGGCTCTGTTTCGGTCACCACTTAAGTATAGAACTTTGTGCTTTAGTTTCTTCATTTATGAACAAACAAACAAAACAGAAATCCATTTATGCCATTTTTCAGTTACAATTCTGTGATTCCATCTTGTACTTTAAAAATACATATATGTTCTAAGATGTTTGATTCTCCAAACAGTGATGTACCGATCCTGCCTTTTGCCATTGTGAAAATTACTTCTCTATCACTAATTCTAGAAGCATTTATTTGGATTTACCATATTTCAGGTTCAATGCCATGTCCCAAGGGTGCACAGATGCAGCCTCCGTTGTTGTGGAACTCCTGGTCCTCAAGGAGGATCTTTGATCAGGACTTCATCTCAATGGCCTCATTGTAGAAAAATTTTAAAAAATCTATGCAAAGAATTCAATCAATATGTAATATCAAGTGCTGATGATAATGGGTATTGCCATTCAGAGAACTTCCTTATCTTCTTTTCTTAAAAATTTCCTTCAATTAATGAAAGTGTAATAGAAAGGGAAGAACATGGATATTATTCCACATGGCAGGAGCTACAGAATGTCACTGGTTGAGGGCTTGAGTCAGTCACTAAGAGGCCAGGGTCTACTGCTCTTGGAGCTGAGTTTAGCCACAGAGTCAAAAGTGCTGGAATTGCCAGGGGCACTGCCATAGAGAGCAGGACTACTTGACATTTCTGGCACCATGATCTGTGATTCAGACCTCCCAGCACATTTAAGCCCCATAACAGTGTTGTGAGGTAGGAATCATTGGCTCTATTTTATAGATAAGAAAACTTAGCTGTGTGTCCAGAGGTCTTACATCCAGTTGGTACTGAAACAAAGTTCAGACCTCTCTCTGATTCCACAGCTATGCTTATCCCCTCTTTTTCCTCTTTGGGAAATAAAGAAATCTAGTCAAACTTAAGACCAAATGACATTACTACAGATATAATTTTGAATGAATAATGTTCATTTGAAGAGAAGCCTTATGCTACATCAGATGAAGGCAATTAGAAAGCGAAAACATATTTTATTTCTACCATTTTTAGAAGAATAGAAACAAAGACCCTGAATAGGATCCTTTAAAATTTCATAAAAAGTTTTATTCTTTGCAGAAATATTTTCCCCAAAGTCTGCTGCATCCCTGTGGACTGTCTGTTGGCTCCTACTGGAGTAACTACGATGCAGTGAATGAGGTCCTGTCACTGAACCTGCAGCGCTGAGGACAGTCAGCAGCCGCAGCAAATGGTCACTGAGAATGGACACGGAGGCCAGGTGAGCCTGAGTAACTTGTTCAAGATCGCTTGGTGTTACATGGTAGAAACAGGACTGGAAACTAAACCTCTCAGACTCACAAGCTCTTGCTTTTAGCTGATGTCTCTGGTTCTTATAACACTTTCTAAGGCAAAACAGATCAGTCTGCATTCATTTCTACAGAAAGCTCTTTCAAATACAACAACAACAACAACAGCTAAGGCAGGAAGATCACAAGTTTGAGATCAATCTGAGCAACTTAATGACTTAGCAAGACTCTGTCTCAAGATAAAAAATTTAAAAATAGCTGGGGATGTAGCTTAGTGTGAAGGCTCTGGGTTCAATCCCCAGTACTGCAAAAACAAACAAAACACAACAATAAAACCCCAGACAACTTTGATCAAATTCCTTCATTTGCTAAATGTTTCACTAAACATTGCTGTTATTATCTTGATTCTTCCTCATAACAGCCCTAATAAGTAGACACAGTCATTTCATGATGAAGAAATTGAGACATTAAATAAATTACCCAAATTAACAATTACAAGTGACAGAGTCAGGACTTAGACCCACTCTTTTTAAATTTTTTTCAGCAAATGTACTTTTATTTTTATATTGTAGAAGCAATAATTTTTATACTACATAAATAAATGTAGTAAGTACAAGCTAGCCAGAACAAAAGAATTAGTATATACTTGAAAGAATTAGAATTTCTATAACAAAATATAAATAATTCTATCGTGCATTTTTTGAGGTCAAGTAGCAATTTCAAATACATACAAGGCAAGTACTACTGTGTTAAAAGTACCACAAACTTCTGCTTTGTTATAGTCACTTAGGAGTTATAAAAAATAAGTATCATCTGGCTTGTGGTTGCTAATAATAGCTGGTGGGCTAAATAAACAGGGCACCTACCCCCTTTCTACCCCCTTTCCTGTTTTCAACTTTTAGAAATTCCAATTTATCAAAAAGTTTGACATATGCAATCCCATAACTACTTTAACTTCTTCCATGACTTTAGAATGGCAGCTTTACACAGAGTTAAAGCTCAAGCTTTTTCTGAATTTATCAGAGTGTTTCTGCACTCTTTGAAACAAGCCTGCATGGATTAGCTTCATAAGGAGTATAATGCCACCCTCTCTTGATATACAAGGAACATCAAGGAGTAGTTCTTTATTCCATAGAGGTCCTCAGTTATGGTGCCAACTGGATGCACTCTCCTAAGATTCTTTATAATATATTCTGTTGAATCTGCTATAGCCAGGACAGTAGGCAAAGAAACATAACCTTTAAGATCTCATAGGCACAGCAATCACTTCTCTGTGGACATTTTCCCACTGCTCAGTATCATCAATTCTAACCGAGTTCAAGTCCTTCAGAAGGACTCCAGCAATGTTAATGCCACAAAGGCACATTTGAGTCTTCATGCTTTCCAAAGATCCACCCCTGACAACTTCCAGAGTGGACATTGAATCTCCACCTAATCAAGAAATGGAAATAGCTGACAGCTGTTTCCAATAACTCGGACTTGAGGAAATACACTCAATAGCTGAATACATAGGTTAAGATATCCACTGGGTTGGAAACAACAATCAGTTTTCAACAATGGGTAATATTAGAAGTCATTCACTTGAAGATGTCTATATTTTCACTTGACTAAATTAAGATGTGTTTTTCCTTTTCCCTGGAATCCACCTGCTGTGATAATCCCTAGGTTGGAGTTTGCAGTGACAAGATAATCTTTACTGGAAACAATGCTTGGTATTTTCATGAAAAGACCCTTAAGTTTAAGATCATCCTCTAACCTTTCAGTTTGCTGTCACTGACAAAGGCAAGTGCATTATTTATCCTTAAATAAGATGGTGACAGGCCACTCCAACCATGAGAGAAGGCATTCAGATACAATTT